CACTTGCCTGGCAAGCACAAGGGCCTGAGTTCAATACCTGGTTCTGACAAAACAAACAAACAAACAAACACCAAGAAAAAACAATAATAATTATAAGAAATTCAAAAGAGGAAATAACCAGATTTTAAAAATTAAGCATTAACTACTACTTTGAAAAGACAAGCAGAAATTAACAATACAATTATCCAAACTATTCTGCATATATACCTAAATATAACTTTTTCCCTTTTTTATTTTATTTTATTTTTTTACATTAAAAATGTATTTATTGCCATTAGAGAAATACAAATTAAAATAACATTGAGATTTTTTTTCAAACCAAACTGGTAGGACGGTTTCAATGATTAACACATTGCATACATTCTTCCTAGTGGTTAATTGCTGTACAAGATGTAGACATGATATCCTATTTACAAACACTATTAGAACAAATCCCTTGCCTATAATATTTTTATCTACCTTGGCTGCCTGCAACAGTATGAGCCATAATAGCATTTGGTATAAGACTATTGGCTAGCAGGTTGAGGCAGGAGGACCACCAGGAGTTTGTAGCCAGCCTGGGCTACATAGTGTGTTCAAGGCTAACCTGAACTATACGTGGAGATCTTGTCTCAAGAAAACAAAGTAAAAAAAAAAAAAAAAAAGGAAAAGAAAAGTTTTAATGCAGCTCAGGCTTAGTAAGACCTTGTCTTACAGTAAACAAACAAATAAACAAAAGAAAAAGCTGCAGTGTGACAGCTTTAAGTTCAACCCCCAATACTAAGCATTAAAAAAAAGACAGAGTTGAATTTGTCCAGTGTCTCGCCAGGCCTTGAGGCTCCCAATCAGATATTTGTTTCACTCTGTAAGTTTCTTTGTGTTACAGAATAAAAATATAATTATAACCTCTCATTAAGTGTGACATATCCTTATCATCCAGCTTTTTTGTTTTTTTAAACCACCTTTAAAGAACGAATTTAGCAAAAGGGAATGGCGCTATAGTAAGAAATGGGACCCTGGAATTACACATTAAAGTTCCCTCCTCCCATCGTGGGGGAGGAAGATGAGAGTTATAGTTCTGAGATTTCCTCACTTTTCGTTTAAGAGAAGCCAGAAGAAAAGTACGGCTATCTCAATTTCCATTTAAAATTTATTTTTAACTTTCCTCTTTAACTATCTTCTGCATTTTGTGTTTTATATTGAATGCTGCTCCAATGTATTAATTAGTTTTTTTTTTATTAACCTATGAAGGAACTGCTCATTGTGAAATACTACCTGTTCAACAGTATGACTTAAGTCTCAGTTCATACAGGCAAGTTGGGTAATCTGAAGTATAAGTAAGAGAATTAAGTACAGAAATAGGGCCAATTTTTCTCCCCTGGGGAAATATTTGCTTTTGCCAAAAATCATCTTTTGTAGTAAATCCTAAAAAAACTGAAAAAATTAGATACAGATAAGAAGAAAAACATGCATAATCTATATTTCCAAAATAAAACTTTGTTAAATTACTAAGCTTTGCTTAGAAAAGAAATTTGGTGTTCTTAAAGAGCATGATAACAGATAAGATATATTAGTCCCTATAGCTATTGTACCAAATGATGGCAGATCTAGTTACTACAAGGCACAAATTCATTTTCTGAAAGTTCCTGAGTACAAGGAAGTACAACAGGTTTCACTGAGTCACTCAGAGATGTGTTCCTTTTGGACATTGCGCAGAATCCAGTTCCTGCGCTCTGTCTCCCGGCTACAGGAAGCCTGCACTGCTTGGCTTGTAGCTCCTCCTCCTCTCAGAGCTAGCGAAAGTGAGCTGACCCCTTTCACATCCCATTACATTGCCTCTTCCCATCATCCTGCATCCTAGGACTCTGACTCTTGTGTTCTTTCTTTCACTATGCAAACCCTGTCCTTGCAGGAATCCTACTTGCATTCTCGAGTCACCTTGATTTATTGTGGGCTGATTGATGTTCTTTGTTCCCACAGAACCTTAATTTCCCTTTGACACATACCTTAATCTGTTCATAACCTGAAGGTTAGGGTGTGGCTGCATGGGAGTGGAGGAGCAGGAGTGTGAAGCAGAGGCTGCTGGGACTTGTGCTCTTTTTGTAGAGCAAGAACTGGAGCCAAGGCCCTTGGCCCCCCAGTGAGGCTGAGCTGTGTGTCCACCTCATTGGGCTGTCTCAGCTTTGTAGACTCAGACTTCACAGAGCTGAGCACCCTGGCCTGTCTAGTGCTGTATGATGAAGCCCTGGTGGCCATGCTGGAGCCTCTCTGGCTTGTGAAAGAGGTCTTGGTTTTAGTTTTATTGAGACAAGAGCTCACTATGTAGTTCAGATTGGCCTTGAGTCATATAGCCTAGGCTGACCTCCACTCAGGCAATCCTCCAGCCTCAACCTCCCAACTGCTGTGATTAGAGCCATGTTCCACCTCTGTCTTCCTTAATTTCCACCTTCCCAGTCAAACAGTGCTCTCGATTGTCTATCATATACCTGCAATTAAGACGTGCTAAACTTAACCTTACTAAGCTGATTACAGACCAGATGTTTAGGGTCAGTTAGTTGTTTAGTAAGGCATTCTCTAGTTCTTATTTTGTTTGCAAATGAGATTATATCTTATAGAAGTAAATGGTTCCTATGTGAAATGTTTTAATGATCTAGGAAGTGAAATCCTTACAATTTGGAAGATAAAGGAAGCTGGCTTTGGAAGGAGAAAGAAAGGAAAGGAAAGCAAGCAAGCAAGAAAGAAAAGCAAGCAAGCAAGAAAAGAAAGAAAGAAAGAAAGAAAGAAAGAAGAAAGAAAGAAAGAAAGAAAGAAAGAAAGAAAGAAAGAAAGAAAGAAAGAAGAAAGAATGAAAGAGGGAGACAGATGGCAAGCCATCTGGCAACAGTGCACACTAAATCCATTTCTGAGACTATAGCAGTGCCCATGTTAAGCTGAAGTCAGCCTCAGGAACCTAACGAATGGCCTAGCATCTTCATAACAAGGCTTTATCTTTCAGATCTCTTATTCTACCTCTTTTCCCTTTTAAAAGTTTGGTTGAATTTTCTCA